CGCATAACACTACACGTGTTTTGGGAATTGAATTATGACTTCCTTCTCACGTATTGTTTCAACTCTTCGACCCAACGGTTCATTAAAATGCCAGAAAAGGCACCGAATTTGACGCCACATCTGAATAACATGCAGAGGGAGAAGCAGTCGGTTCACCCGCAATCCCAACCCCCGTATTATCTCTATGGCACCAAAGCGCTGAATATGGCCTATATGAATATACACGCCCTTAACAATGGGTTCATAGGTGCACCACATTTCCGGTCAATGTGTAAACTCTTGGGTTATCAGGGAATTGCTGTCGTTATCGAGGAATTGTTGAAAATTGTCAAAAGTCTTCTTCAGGGAACTATTGCTCAATACGTCAAGACTTTAATGACAGTTATGCCCAAAGTGTGCAAATTACCGCTTTATGACTACGGCTCGACTGGAGTACTGGAGTACTACCAAGCACAGCTCAGGGATATCATACAATACCCTGACGTCAAAACCGAAATGTTTCAAAGCTTTCGAGAGATTGGAAACGCATTACTCTTTTGTTTACTCATTGAACAGGCACTGGTAGGCCACCTAAATGTACACATTCTGTATCTATAGACTAATGTTTAACTTTGTCATTGAATTAGTCTCAGGAGGAGGTGTGTGACCTCTTAGAGGCGGCGCCCTTTCAGAACATTTTGCCGCGAATTTACTGCAAAGACGGGGAAAAGCCGGAGACGAAACTGAAGCGATTGGAAGCGAAGTACTCTCCCCTTCAAGTCGTGCCTAACATTGAAAGACTCGGAACACCAAAAGTATTTGCATTTAAACTTGTTTTCTATTCAATTGTTTATTGACTGAATGCCTGTGAATGTAAAGCAAGCGTCGATCGCACGGGAGGGCGACCTCTTGACCAAAGAGCGGCTTTGTTGCGGTCTTTCCATATTCGAGACGATATTACAGCGAATTCGTGGCTTTATGTTGGAGAGTGAGGAACAGGCGTCCATTTGGATCGGTCCCAATCGGATGCCACCGCCCAATGGTGTCATATATGTGGACGAGTGCTTTGAGTTTCACCGGTTGTGGTCAGCCCTTCAGTTTATTTACTGCATTCCCGTCGGCGACGGAGAGTTCACTATAGAGGAGCTGTTCGGTGAGGGCCTGAACTGGTCGGGCGCTACGATGATTGCGCTGTTGGGTCAACACAAACGCTTCGAGGCTCTCGACTTCAGTTACCATTTGCTGAAAGTGCAGAGAGTGGACGGCAGGGACGAGCTCGTCAGAGGCATTGTAAGCAACAGCGCCGTTAGCTTTTCTATGTATTGTCTTTGGCTAATGAATTGTTTGTTTGTATGCGTTTGTGTAGCCATTGAAGCGAATGGTAGACCGGATCCGACGCTTCCAAGTCCTGAATTCGCAGATATTTTCCATTTTAAGTAAATTCCTGACGAACGCCAACGGAGACGCCAATACTGTCGAACACGTCAAGTGCTTCCAACCACCCATACATCCCGCTATGGCTACAGCACAGGGTTTGTCTCATATTTGCTTTCTTTTTCATATTCATGTGATTTTTATTGTAAAACAACTCGTGATTTGTTTTTTTAATTTGAAAATAATAGCAAATTCTGCGCCCATTTACATGAGAGCTGCGATTCTACTGCAACAACAGCAACGACTCAAGGAATAACATAACACCTACTGTTCCGCAGGTTTTGCGCTTTCAAAGCTGAGTTTCGCATAATATTAATATATTTTCATTTTTATTATTTAATCTTTTGTTGATTTTCCCTTCAATTTATTTTTACTTAAATTTCATTTCAAATTATTTATTTGATTCTAACAAACAGTTTTTGATAAACTTTTTGTTTTTATATTTTTATGCATTTATGTCAAAGTATTTTAATCTAAAAATACTGTTTATTCGCTTAAGTAGTGTCTATACTTTGTCTTACGTTATACTTAAACTAAATTATTTGCAATCATTTCTACGGTTATGATTGGAAAGTGAATCTTAAGTTTTCCTTAGTTTTCTAAACGCTTAGTAAGTCTTTTAAAAACTTATTTATTTATTAATTATTTTAATGAATAATGTTTTGTAAACAAAAGTGAGTTGAAAATTATGTAAATCTTTTATATAATTACGATAATATACTGTGTAAGAAAAAAATAAGTAAACTTTTGCCAAATTTTTACTTTGTTTTAAATATATCATTAGACTAACAATGCGATCGCATTTTAATTGCATTTATTAATAACTTATAAATAAGAATTAATTGAAAACATAATTGTTTATATTTTTATTTTATTATTAAAACGAAAAGTTTTTTATCATTTAATTTCCATTTTGCTATTCATTTTGTAATTTATTAACAAATTGTTTTCGAGATATAGTTGATGTTAAGATGCAATAAAACATGTTTTATAGCGAATTAGTCGACATAAGAATGCAATTTATTATCAATAACTATTGGTTTTATAGATTTCATGTTATAAAACCTTCAATCTGTGTATTATAGTTATAATTGGTTACGGATATCAGTAATTATTATGCAATCGATTGAATTCATGGTCACTAAAAGACGTTAATTGATATATAAATATAATTTATCCGACGATTTCCAGTGAATTAATTGTCGCCATAATTATGTAATTAGTGAATCATATTTGGGAACTGAAAAAATGTTGTCATTGAGAGTGAATGTCATGAATACCATGTATTTTATAACTTTTTGTTATCATCCCATGAATTCAATTCATTCATTAATTTTCGATTTTTATTGAATTTATAAATTTTTAATGAATAAAACACTCTTTAGTAATAAATAATGTTTTTATTATTTATTTGTTTTAAAGTAACAAATTGTTGTCAACGAGAATGAATGTGTGAATGTGGTGTCTGAATGGTATTAGGCATCAATAGTGATCACTTTGCCCGGGTAACCTCGGCCCGCATTACTTCCCGGCTGATTGGTGTCACGTCCGTCAATCATAGTCACGTCCGGGTCGTTAAACTCGGGTCCCATCGGCCCTAATGGCCTGTTGGGGTCAGCGCCGGGTTGTTGTGGTGGCGGTGATTGACCTCCAATTCCTGGATAATGAGAGGGTCCCTGACCTCCGTTACCTGGTTGGTGACCAGGTGTTCGCCCACCAAATCCTGGCTGAAAGCCTGGTGTTTGTCCTCCATATCCTGGCTGAAAGCCTGGGGTCTGACCCCCAAAACCTGGCTGATAGCCAGGTGTTTGTCCACCAAATGAGGGATAATATCCGGGCACATTCCCACCACCAATTCCTGGGTAATAACCGGGTGTTTGTCCGCCGGACGGTATAAACCTGGGCTGATAGCCTGATCCGGGTTGAAAGCCTGAATAGGTTGGAATCACTGGGCGACTACCGGGATATTGAAAGCCACGACCAGCACCGGGGTATGGATTTTGAGGAGCTATGAAAGAGAAAGTGGGAACACCTGAGCTCGGAATCATTGCGAAAGAACCCGGACTATAGCGGGCTGTGCTTATTATACTGGGATTATAAGTGGGAATCTGTTGGCCGGACGGCACGGATGGCCAACTAAATTGGGGCCACTGTTGGGGCCAATTGGCAGTGTGTGTGGGCACATATCGGCCCCAATTACCCCAATTAGGGTTTTCCCAATAGTTGGGGAAATTGTTAGTCGGGAATGTGGGTTGAAATGGATAGGCAGGTCTGGTTGCGGGCACTGTTGG